TGAGGCGTAATTTCGATGTACCTAACTTATTTGTTTTTTGCACCTGCTGCTTCCTAGTGACAAGACCAAGTTAAAATGACTGAAGATGAATGTGAAAACAGTGGCCGACGGTACAACCAACTGGATTAAAAATACCACAAATTATCTTGTCCTTGATTCACCCTAACAGCAGGACTCTCAGTCCCGTGTAAGACCAAGTTATCTCGTCGGTCGGCACTCGTTCAGACCAGCATTTAATGGTAATTTCGATGCATATTTTGTCGTTTATATCGGGCCGTAAAGAATTAGCATTACAGAAAAGAACAGAGTTTGTAAATTTTTATCTATATGAGAAACAGTTTTATTCAGCACTCCATGTGGTCAATGTGTGTTTGCCGTTTCAGCGAGAGCATCTTCATTTCAGTGTTTCAAAAGCCGTTTAACCAAGAGTAGATGAAATCTAGGCAGGTTTATTCAAATGAACTGTCAAAAGTTAGTTGTTTTTCTTTGAAAATGTTATCCAAATTCCGGAAGAAGTGGTTATTAATGAGGTCAAGACCTGGTGAGTATGGTGGATGACGCAGGATCTCCCACGCCAAGTCCTATCGTTTCGCCACCGTCAGGCGTACGATGTGTAGCCTAGCGCTGTCAAGCAATAGAATAGGAGTCAATCGTTTGACCAATCTAGACTGGTTTCTGCAAGTTTGCATATCAGTTGATCCAGCTAGCTGTGGTATACATCCACCGTGATCGATTATCAAAGTTTCATGAAATCATAAAAGATCACCAAATACTCACCCTCAGCTTCTTTCCATGGATTTTGTACGTTGGGCTATGTTTTGTTGGCTGGCACCTGTCTAATTACTGTGTTAAACGTTTTCAGTTGTCGCATTGTACCCACTTCTCATCGCACGTTACAGTTCGATCAAAACCTCAATCATTGTTTGTGTGGCGAGAACGTATCGTCATGCAAGCTCCCAAACATTGCCAGTTTTGTTTTTCACTTAGTTCATTTGGCGGCCATCTATCCAATTTTTCCCTTTACGAAGCTCAACTGCGTAAGCTAGTATTGTTTATTTGCTAACACCACGACAGTTTGACCATCCATTTAGACTACGTTTCAGTAAGCCGAATGCAGGCACGGCGACTTACGCGTGAATGAGTCTTAACTGTGAGTAGACTTTCACTGCATCTACCGCACACTCTCCTCCCTAAACCACCTGTACCCGGTGTCAAGACAGAGACAAGAAGAGCAGAGGTGTAATCGGGCGCAGGTGGCTGGCGCGGCCACACTCAAACCTCTCCCGGTGAACGCTCCGTCTCCTTCTCGCGATTTCGTGTGGTGTTGCTAAAGGAAAACGTACAATCTGCTTATGTTACCATTAAAGTTTCTCACAATCCTATTGAGTATTGAGTACGCATTTTCTTAGAAGAGAGTTCATAAACCTACAACTAAACGGCCTCAGAAAGGAAAGTAAAAGTCACGCTATACAGACGCAGCCGAAGCGAAAAATTGCCCTCACAGTCAAATGCATCTTTTAGAAATTGAGACTGGTAACTCAACTTCAGTAGTGACTAAAAGAACCTCTTTCACAGGAGCTAACACGGGACGGATTCTTCAAACCTTGCGAAGGCGAGATAGATTACATGCATTAGCAACTGATTCAGGATCAACACGCAGATTGTCAGTCCAAATGCATTTGCATCGACCAGGTTGTGGCCGTACTCCCTCATCGGAATTATGAAGAGGTAATAGTTGCAAGGAACTTGAAGACTCGGCTGCTTTCCAGCACAAGCCTTGGATTCTTCGCGTGCCCCTTAGGTAGTAATTTGGATCATGGATAAAAGTGATGATACTGCGCCGGAGCATTCCTCCCTTAGCACCATTTTGGCCCCTACCCAAATATCATCCTCTAACTGAAACGAGTTAAGTGAAGTTGCCCTGCGCAGGTATCTCCAGACTCACGGCACTGGTGATTAATTGGTCCTCTCCTCTTTCACCCTCTTCCCCTATGACTTTTAACTGACCCTTCCCCTATAAAGGTTGCTTGTTTTCGTTGACGATTTTATTTACATTAATATTCCCACCCAACACGCCGATCTCGTCTACTTGCACAGACTGACATAGTCCGCAGTGGCCAGTCGGCGTCCACACCATACAATTAATGATTTTCTATAGGTTCAAGCTTTAGTTGTTTTGTACACACGCCACAACTAGCCTCCCCCATTTGTTGTTGTTTTCCATCTCTGACGATGGACTCCTACAGGAATTCGAATGCTCAGACAAATAAAACCATGATTCCGGTGTTCGAAAAAGCTTATTCTTTTCCTCAAAGAAGACCAAATATTCACAACTTTCTTCTGCCAAAAGAAGATGTAATTTACAAGTAAAAATAGCAAAAAGCCAATAGGAATGGGGTGTTACAGATATAATCTGGCAGGAAAGAGTTCATAACTCCGCGCAAGTAGTACTGTATTGAAAATGTAGTTGCGGCTCGAAGCGGCATTTGAAGTAGTTGTCTTACTCACTGTAAGTTGCTTCGTCATCGCTGATATGTTTGCCTGATTCCTCATCGTCTTTAGCGTCGTCTTGATGCTCAGTTCTCCGGCCAACAGCGACTGAATGCGTGAAGGCAGCCGCAAACAGATGACCAAGACCAATTGATCCGGAACGACATCGATCCCTGCACACAAATGAAACAGACATATCAGTCTATTATTCTCGCAAGGGTTATGAATACATTCGTTTTCTCGCTCAGAACACTGACGAGCTAGAGAGGGGGAGGGGATAGGAGTTCCCTAGAAGCAACGCCGTAGTTTACGATAAAATAACTAACTAAACTAAAATTAGACTAAAATTAAATAACAAACTAAAAACTAAACCAAACTACATTAACTAAACTAAGAACTGAAGTAACATAAACTTAAGCTAATAAACAATAATTGCACTAAACTAAATAATTACCTTTACCAAATGAAGTACTTAGTTTGGGTAAGTTATTCCCAAATACTTAAAATATGCCCAAGTAAATGTATGCTGGGGTTGTGGGGTGACAGTCTAAGAAGGAGGATGGGATCTCTGAAAAAATCTAATTAATAAACCATGACAGGTTAAAGTCTGTGTTCATGGTCCGCAATGAACAAAAAGGGAATTTTAGCCGATTTTTGGAAGTTCTTTAGCCTGCTTCCGACCAATGTTTGTTTAACTTACTTGCAGAAAAATACCAATTTAAACCCACCCAACTTTATATTACTGACTCTAAGGATGTCTGGCAGTACCGTCGATAGATTACTATCTTCGCTTCTGTGCCACTGGGACTCTGAACTTGCTTTGGAACCCTTGACAGTCCCCTTGGTTCTCCTAAATTTTTCCTTTATGAATGCACTTCGTACATTCGTTTATTAGATATAACATTTAAAGAAATTTTTTATATCTTTTTATATATGATTTAGGCATACACCGGCATATTTGCCGTACTCTGTGTGCCACGAAAATTATGTTTGCGACATCGGATATGCTGCATCTAAGGGTCCTTTCTATGAAATCTCCAAATATTTGGCTTACAAAACGTTCAGTTAAACCCACAATTCCATCTGCTGACGTAATATTCCTTTGATAATTTTATGCCCGCAAATAAAATTCAGCTTTTTTGTTACCAACTCTTTCTGTTGATATTGGTTAAGTATGAGCTAATAATACTCTCCGTGACTTGACACGATGAGCGCTGGATGAAGCAACCATAAAGAATAAATAAAAATGGGGTACTACGGAATAAAACTCCGAAATGCCTAACGCTGTCTGAAGTATTTGTGTTTTGGGCAGCACACTGCTAATTTTGCGGTTCTCAAACGGATTTACCCTCTCCGCCCTTCTATTTACGCTAAATGAGATGTGAAGTATCGGTTTACCTTTCATTGCTAGCGAGCATTGTGATCCTATCCTATTACTGTGTCGCCAGCATGACCTACAGATTTTCAATTATTCTCTTATTACTGGTGACCTTGCGCAAAGAGTTTTCTGCTTCTTTGGGGAGGGAAGGAGGCACAGACGCAACGTACACTGAGATCTTGACGAGCGATTCGGACTCACGGTTGTCTTTCCACTTTGTCTGAAATTTCAGTTTCCCTGTTTGTTTCAACTACCTTGAGGGCTACTACGTTTATTTTTCCCCATCAGGCAGTCTCTTGCCTTTTGCAAGATCTGATCTGATCTGCTGAATGAATTCAGAGTCAAATAAAAGTAGGTAACTGAAGTATTTGTTAAACCAGCGATCCTTCCAGAAAGCTGAGTTCCCACAAGTTACTTAAGCGCCTATATTAAGCGAAAAAATAACTTACATGATCCACTCCACAGCAAAGAGCAGGGAAACCTGGTCAGTGGGAACACCCAGGGAGGAAAGGATTGTGATGATAATGATGATGCTGGAACTCGGCACGTTTGGAATGGCAAGGGTGGCAAAGCCAGTTAGCAGACTAAAAGGGGTTAAAACGACAAACACTCGTCAACGGCTGACCAGCTTAGAAGTCCAAAATTTTTTGCATTAATTTCAGAATATAAGCTACACGTAGGCGGACCCTGTTTGCAGACGCACTAACTTGACGGCGTCTATTGAAATGCAGGCACATTTTACAGTAAATTTGTCAAATGTTGATTGGGGCTGTTACAAAGCTTTCCCTAGCAAGAGTGCAGAATAATAAGAACTTGAAGGGATGGACGACACAGAATGGGAGTAAATTGATAGAGTATTTTTTCGGACCTATTTTGCCTTTTGGAAACCTAGACACCCCGACCTACTGGCCTCCCTAGATAGATAGGCTCCACATGGATGGCAAATATGTCAAACCGACAGTAAATTAGCAGGCCTATTTCAGCCTGGTAGTTTTTTGCCGGCTAATGACAACCTTGCCACCCCCCAAGGCGTGTGTGTTTTTTTCGAAAAACCAACAAATCGGATTGCAGTGATCCCAGATTAAAAAAGAGCTTGCTTCTGGGGGTTTCTCTAATGTGATGAAAAACTCTGGAAACAACAGGCGACAATGGGTCGTAATAAAATGGGTATATTTATTTAAAATCACTTCAGCTGGGCACTTTGAGAAACAAAAGCTTGCGGAGCATTTAGTTCTATTACAAGTAGGTATTTATGCACCTATAAAATGACATTGTATGAGATTAAGTCCCTACCCACGTATGAGTTCACGATACAAAACACCAAGATTTCCTATGTAATTAAGATCGAGTTTTCCATATAAAGCCGAAGAAAGCGGAAGACACCGAGGCACTATTATATGTTCCTATAAACTTTTGTGTACCCGTAATTTTAAGAATTAATTGGAGCTCGAACGCGTGGTCAGTAGCTTGCCTAACTGCAGACATACATAATTCAAGCAAATGACCTTTCAGTAGCATCACAATTAAAAAACGGTTGGTAGAGTTCAAGATAGCCAAGTGATTTTTATAACTAATATTTTGGAAGGATGTAGTTGTTTTTTTTTCACGTTAAATGGGAACTTCACAGTGTGTTCAATTAACATATTTTAGAAATTTTCTTTCAAATCTCAAATTATTCTCTTATGCATCATTTTCTAATTTTTAGTCCATGAAGTGGTTACGGACGGACAAAGGGTCTGAAGAATTTAGCATTATGTAATTTGCAATACACGGAAACAATGAAGGCAGTCGGTACTTACGCAATGATCACATAGGTTCCGACATTAATATCGACCTTGCTGAGTTGGGCGATAAAGACACAGGCAACGGCTTGAAAGGCCCCAGAACCATCACCTTTTAATGCTGCCGACAAGGGGATCACAAACCGTGTTATTTTCTTCTGCAATCCGTATTTGTCACACATTTCGATCATATCCGGGATGCAAATTAGCCTTTAAGGAATAAACAGACGACATCACTTGATGAACAACTCTCTACTTATCGCATGTTTTCGGATTCCAAAATCACATCCGTATCAAAAGCTATTGGTTAGTAATTCAGCAAAAATACAGAATATTCTCGCAAATGAATTGTGAACATGTCAGGAAAGTTGATATGTATTTTTTCCATAATGGATTTGAACCCACTGTGAAAACCTTGGTGGCTTTCTAACGCACGACAGCAAGGGCAATGCTTGAGTACAGCCCATTTCATCAGCATTCGAATTATAATATGAATGAGATTAAATTCTTGGTTTCCAGTTGGGGTTTCATAGCTCAGGTAATAGAACACTGGATGTACATACGTCGAACCTTTGTTGTCCTAGGTTCTAATTCCACTGAAGCCACTGAAGTTTGCACAATCGGGTCAAACGAATTTTATTAAAAAGTAAAAAGAGAAGAAAGTCTCATTCAGGGAGACTTACGGAGCCGTTGTAATGAATGCAAGGAACCACACTTTGAAGCCCTTGATAAGGATCATAAACGGATTCCGGAAGGAAGCAATCGCGTAGATAATCATCTGAATTATCATATGGACGGCCAAAGCAACAAGCACGGTTGCCATGAAAAGAAGAAGACTTTTGAAGGTTCCACCCACATCTTCCAGACCGACGACTGCACCAGCAATCATAAAACAGACACCGATAGGGGTGATCCTATGGAGAAAAAGAGACAAGCTACGTTGACAACCAGCATTCACACGAAACAAGTCAATAACGGGAAATATTAGTTTCATTTATTTAGAATTCCTGGGTGTCACTGTATGTGCGCTTTCCCCGACGTTTAGGGAACTTTTGCGTCCGAAATAAAATAAAAACAAGCATGCATTCATAAAGGCAACCTCTTGGCAATATACCTGTTTTCTGTCTACCGAATATCGTTTGTTTGCGGTCCATGGTTAGTAAAATATGGTTACCCTAATAAAGTTCCTAGGTCGTGCAGCAAAATTCTGACTAGCAGATGAAAATAAGTCACTGCACAGTGCGACTACGCCTAAAAAGTGGGTTGGCGTGATGTTCTAAACTTCCCTACTGACATCTGAGATAGCTTTGGCCAATTTATAACATCCACCATGATGGAACGCGTTTGTAAGTTGGTATATTTTTGCTCACTATTCCGGATACAAGGATAAAGTTATCGACTAAGCTCCATATTCATCCTCGAATGTCTAAAGTAAGAAACTTCCTGACGTTTTCGGGGAGCGAGGGCAAGAAAATAATTAAAAAATGGTATATCAAAGTATCGTTTGACATATACATAGAGGATGGTTCTAGCGCTTCCAGTTTGATACCTTTAACTGCCCTGTGTGGCACTTTGTTGAACAACGTTACCTTGTAATATCGTGGTTTATTGCTTAAGTTCAACTTAATGGGCCTTGAGTGGACCTGATGTAATCTTATTGCGTTTGATTAACAATTTATAATTGTTAAAAATCAGACACGTCCAGTAGTATTCATGCGACCATCGCGACAATTACGTAATTGTTAGATATTCATTAGTAAGCTCCCGCTGACAGTACTGTTTGATTCATACTGTAATAATGAAATCCAGAAACAATGCTGGAGCATGAATAAGTCTCGCTAAAGCTAGTGGTTAGCTCTGCTGGTCTGTTTAGCACTGAACCAATTCTCTTCCGCGACGGGTCCAGTTACACAACAACCACTATAAAGGAAAATTACTTGGAGACTCGACGAGAGTTTGATATTCCGAAAGTTTAGGTAAGGAGTGAACTTGCACCTTTTAGTTTTTGAACATGATAAAACCTCGCCTCGTTTGCCAAAGTAACTGAGGGATTTCCTGATCTACGGGTCTCCTGACCGACGGATCAGTCGAAAACCTTCCCTCAACTGCGCTACGCGCTTCCTGATTACAGACCCCGTGACGTTTCCCGGTGGTTATATCAAAAGCAAGGTTTATGTCACCAAGCCCAATAAACTATCATGACGGACTATTCAATCCGGTTGGCAAGTAAATGATACAAAACACCAAGGAGGCCAACATCTACAAGAGCGTCTGACTAAATGAAAATGTAACATCGGGCCCCATACTCGCGCACATTCTACAGCTGGCTTACGACAATAAATAAGTCAGAAAATTTAATCATAGCCCCACTAATCTTTGTTCATATTTTATTTTTTGCTGCAGAAGATTTTCTAAGCAAAACTAAAGTACATTAGGTTACAGTTTACAGATGAGATCAAATCCTTAATGTGTCAATTATGCTGCGTTAATACGTGCACTATATCTACATCCCAAAACTTGTGACAGGCATGATACAAGGTAAATAAAAACACATTTGACTTACGTTAAGAACCATCTCATTATGATCAGAACCACATCGCCGAGGGATTGAAACCACTCCACAAACACACGCCCAGTTTCACCACATTTTCCGGCGGCGATACCGAAGACGATTGACGTAAAAATCAAACCTTGCGTGAAGTAAGTAAAATAGAAATGTTGTCATTTGTTATTCGGAGTTAAGTTGTTATACTGTGACATCAATAACTTATGGAAAAAAGCTATATATAGAAATGTTTATAAATATATAGCTGGGACTTGTTGTGCCTACTTTTCTATGTAGCGATTTCATGTCAGGTCAAAAGTATTTTCTTGCTTTATTTATTTTAAATGCACAGCAGGTGTCGTGCACGTCTCAGAAACTATGCTCACGAGTAGGTGAACCAATGGAGGTTAACCAAAAGATCAGACTGAGATTTACTCATTCAAAATAATTTGTGAGTTTTTTTTAAAAAAACATTGTAAAAAACGTTCACTGATTCCCAATAATTAAGTCTATAGTATGTCTAACTTTTTGCCCCCAGACTTTTGGGTCCTTGCACCAGAAACAGGTTGAATTAAAAAAAAACGTTTTAAAACTACGTTTTAGCAAAATTTCGATATTAATTGCAAGCCTAAACTGATGCCTAGCCATTTAAATTCTATTTTTAATTTTCCATCAACGGAAACCTTTTTTATTCTGAGTTTTGGCGACTACTCTTTATGGGTTTTTACTTAGATAAATTTTTAGGAGAAGTATTAATTAAAAA